ACGTAGCGTCGTCATTCATCTGGTCTGGTCGGAGATGGTCAGCTTGCCCTTCGTCAATGGAGTGTGTCCGGTAGAGACGACGACTGAACAAGGCAGAAGTCAAATCCGAATGCGTTTGTTCTGCATCGCGATTGCTCAGCAAGTTATTGACGCTTCTCTTTGAGGTATCATCGTCTGCCTTTGTTAAGGACGTGCAAACATCCGATTACATGAGGAGAAGGGATGATGTACAAAGTCAGGGTTGAAGAGGACTTCCTAATCTGATTGTGTCGAACGGTCTGCGAGGGTATGAAGTCAGTATGCATTTCGTCGTGCAGTAAGAACGGAAGATCTAAGGCGGCTGAAGATGAAAGTGTTTTCAAGATGAACTCAGCTTGGTGGTTGGTGAAGCGACACGCCATCAACTGAGTGCCACGACCGGCTCTGCGAACGCCGGACTGCATGAATGACGACGATGCCGGCTAGAGCTTGGTCCCAACCAGGTGTATGATGAGTACGCAAGGTCAGTGAGTGATGAAGTTCAAGGGGTGGTTGTGTTGTCCAGACGCGGAAGTGAAGTCGATGCCACCCAAGACTTGTCGAAAATTCGGAGCGCCGGCAACCTTAAGAGGACCGAACATCTTTGACACTGATGCTATGAAGGAAGGGACCCTCTGTACTGCTCTACTTATTGGAAGGCGGGCGTGGAATTGAGGTCAACATGGACGGCGATGCGGCGAAGGCGAAGATCTGAAGACGATTCGACAACCCAACCGCGGCGTCACGAACATCAGAGAAGCTGAGGGCGAAGAGAACAAATGGATGGCAGTGAGCGGCTGTCTTTCAGAGCTGCAGATGCTGCATCTGTAAAGCGTGATGGTGTCTGTTGATGGTGTCGTGGGGAAAAAGAAGGAGAGGGCTAGAAGGTGTTTGCGGGGGATTAATATTGCCGCAGCAGCAACAACATCATATCAGCGAAGCACCACGCCAAGCTCCTGTTGGCCACACTCCTTGCAGGCAGGGACTGAAGCTTCCCCAAGATTACAATCTGAGTCCCAGGAGGCTCTCCTCCAGCATTACATCATCATTCTCTCCACTGGACTTCTCTCACGTTTGCTGCGGCCTCCCTTTCGACGTTAGGTAGGTCAAGACTCAGATGCAGAGCCGGAGCGACAGGGGGCACTTGCACGAAGCAACTTTCATTTCCTGGTATCATTGGACGCTTCTGGAACGTTGGACTGCAGCTTGTTTCAAGCTGTATGCAAGCTGATCATTGTCTTCAGCGTCACTGTGGACAGTTAGGGACATCCCCTTTGTCATTCGATGTTTTCCTGAGCAAACAGATGCTGTTCCGCACAGATGTCCATTCCCTTTCACCAGCCTGGGCTACCGGACGCTGGAGATACCGCCGCAGTACACCCAGAGAGTCACTGCCATCAAAAGCTGCGAACGTCCAGTGACCCCGATAATGTACAACCTTACACGGACATTACTACCCGCTGAAGAACGGACACCTCATTTTGATGAAGCGGAAGTTCGACGCTCGCAGCAGTGTCAGCCTGTCGGGGTATCAGCCGCCTTCTCGTAACTAGGAAGGCGCCGGTCTACCGCAAGGAAATGGGGATCGTGAGTGGAACACTTCAGACAGATGGGCGGCCACCAATCAATGACCCAGGGCAGTACGTAGACCAGGTAGAAATCGAATGTCTTTACGCTAGAGATAAATATTACTTCATACCAGTAGACGCCATCACTGCCCGGCAGAATGCAAGTCACCCTTCTACTTACACATAGCAGCATAGCAGCATAGCAGTCAATCTACCCGACAGAGACTCTACCGTATTTTCGCCCTCCCTAATTCTAGCTGGGCCTCCACCTTTGCATGCGAAGCCGACTTCAACACAACTGCGGATCCATTCGTCCTCTACAAACTCGCTCATTTCTTGCCTCGTCTGGCGCCTGCGCCGCGACTCTCTGCGGGCCTGAATACAGACAAGAGAAACACAATACGAAGAGCGGGCTGCCGTGACTCACAACGAAGAATGCGTTTGATGCGGAGGCTACCCGCGAAAAGATACTTCGTTTTGAGAGCAGCTTAGAGGCTTGTCAGGCGTGTCAGTAGAAAGATTACCAGTTGACTACAAGGGAGGGCATACGTCGAGACCCAGTCGTCCCGCTTTCTCAATACTGAACAGAGGTAAGCGCATGTACACCGTATCCTGCGAGCGGCAATGGTGTTTGCGGAGGGGAGAGGATGTATATGGTAGGAGTCTTCGAGCAATATAGACAGCAGAACGGACAGGGGTCGGTCCGACTGGCCGGTTGCATCTGCTCCTCGGCTTTACAGAGCCATGCGAAGGTGTATGAAGCTGAGAACGGTCCGCCTCGGAGCTACCTCTGCGCACGGTTGGATAGTTACAAAGCTTCAGGAGTAGCCTCCTCGATAAGAATCGATATGCCGCTACCGATCACGGCAATTCAAGATCATCCATGGGGCGAGTGCATCTTTGGAGAAGCTGCTCAGGCGTTGGGTGCGAAGTCCGAAGGTGAGTCTGGCAAACCGTTGATGCTAATGCTTTCGAGTGCGAATTGTAGTTAGGCCCTTTTATCATTCGGGTTCGGCGCTTGGTATTGCAACCATTCGGATGCCACAGGATGGCTTAGATGGCCAAAGTTTGTTTCAGTTTCTGGACACAAAGCATTGATACAGACAGTTTGACTGTACCATTCATTTTGGCAGAAACAAGACAGGTATTCTGGATAGCTAGCTATCCGAGGTATTTAAGGGCTAACTAGCACAGTCAAGATCTTATGGTGTGTGTTGTCTTACTCCTGCGATAACCCCTCGAACCACAATCCCTCGTCCAGACAGTACAGCAACTACGAGCCCTCTTGCAGCAGAGATTCAGCCTACTGTAAATTCTTGAAGGGATCGAGAACTCGGAGAGAGAAGCTGCGTTCCGAAGACCACGGAAGGAAAGCGCTTGCGGGTCAGACACCCATGACCTCTCGATGGTTTCTAGTGAAGAGGAGTGGTCGACTGTTGGCACCTAAGCACACAAATTCGGAGAGAGGAAGTCAACATCCGAAGTTTGTTTCAAGCAGATTCTAGGACTCTGCTGGCCATCCGAGAAGGTGAGTCAACTCAAGGCCATACGCTGAATTTATTTAACAGCTTTCAGAGAAGCTGACACTAGGCACAACACCCATGGAAACTCCTTCCTACGCCAAGAGGCAACGACACCAGCACCGGGCAGATAATTCCCCAGTCAAGTATCCGCCGACTAAGAAGCGGCTGCCGTCTCTGCCATCTGGACGCCATCAATGTGAAGTTCTGGCACCGCCGTGTTCATCAAGGCTGGCAGTCGTAAAAAGGAAAGAAACGGCGCCCAGCAGCGGCATTTTGCGGGCATTTGGGTGCTGAAACCCTAGGCGGCCGAAGTCGCTTGGGCTGTATCATTATGCCTGCACTATTTCCGTCTCTTAATACTAGATGATGTCTTGGGGAAGAAGAGCTTATGGGCTTCAAGCTCTGTTATTGTAATCGTCTGACGCTATTAGAACATCGTCAGCGAGCGTCTTCTATTCGATGCCAAGTGGGTAGACGAAGCTTATCTGAATTGGCTAGATTCCTCTTTATCTGCGCCCATATTTGTACAAGCTCAGACAGTGTGTACAGAGCCACGCGAATGTAGCAGCTTGAATCTCATTGGGTGATGACTCTTCAAGCTGCCGTCGTGTGATTATAATGAAGTCGGCACCAAGACCAGGGAGTAAAGTCACGTGAATCAGCTGCTACTGTAAATGTATCCCCTATCTCCGCCATACTACCTTTTGTTCTTGAAATCTGCAAGCACCAAGGCAACCCTCTAGAATCGATGCCGTAAAGTAAGCTGCTCTAGCTCTTATCGCCGTCATGGTGAAGATAGGGCACAAGCTTGGAACGGGAGAGGCGTGAGCGGCAGGTGCCATCTCCGTGCAAGGGTGCTGGACCGACCAACGACATTACGAACTGCCGTGCATCTCTCTCCCTTACATATCTCAGCCCCAGGTCTTCAAACTTAATCCATCGTCTCGGCGGCTCTTCTTAGTGGCACATAGTCCACTAAGCCGCGTTATGCCGTGCCACTTCCTGCGTGGTTGCTGCAGTAGGACGGCCAGATCGTCAAGCCTAACGGGATGGGCTACAGCAATCATCAGGCACAATGGGACGAATGGGCGAGCTGCCTGGGACTCAACTGGGGCGGCACATCAGATCCATATCTAAGCTCTATGGAAGCTGGGTCTCCCCACCCACGGGACCCTTACGAAGTCGTGGCGCATGCAATGGTATTTCGGGCCATAGCACTTTCGTAGAGTATATGTATCCTTACGTCGCTCCTAAATCAGCAGTACAATAGTGGGTAGCAGTCTTCCACATCGGCTAAGATGGCGTTCTCACTTCTCCGTCTCGTGGGATCTTTCGCTTTAACCTTATCATTCGTTGCTTCTTTCGTTCATCAAACACGCGCATTCACTCTCGAAACCACTGGTACTACAGCATCCCTCAACCATGCTGCGTACTATATTCCTCCAGCCGCTGTAGCAACTATCCCGCTCTCGAAAGCCTTCAAGAGCGCTGTTCCTGCTGGCAGTTTCATGCCTTTGGCGGTTATCACTACGGACTCCGTGGCATTTTCGGCCGAAGATCTCTCAAAACTGGCTTCTGCATGGACGGCAGTAGACGATGTCTTCCGGGAAGGTTTCTTGGGAGGTGAGTTGATCTCATTCTCCCGCAGCAGTCCCGCCGCAGAAGCATACGCCTTTTTCCACATAGATCGAAGTATCTTGTCTCCATCTGGCGACTATTGGATATTGACGGCTACTCAGCTCTCTACGTGCAGTACACTGGAACCACCGGATACTAGAGATCGTTCCCTCCTGGTCCCAGGAACGCACCTCTTGTCATGACTACCTATGCTGCCAATTCAAGCGCAATTCCTAATGGTCCGTACTTTGTATGCGCTACCGGGACCGTCCATATGGCGTACAGGCTGTTCTCAGATGTTCAAGGTGCATTCACAGAAACCGTCATAGCTCAATCGGATGGATCTTTTTCAGTGCTTCCAGCAAATCTTCCCGGACAATCTCTGGCGGTTGCAGTGCCCTCTCGCCTGTACTACACGAAGACGCCGGAGAAGCCCTTGGCGGGAGTGCGCCTCGGCATCAAGGACATCTATGATATGAAGGGTTTGAAGACCAGCAATGGCAACCGCGCTTGGTACCATCTATATCCGCCGGCAAATGAGACAGCGGTATCGGTGCAAAGCCTCATAGATGCGGGCGGCATTGCAGTGGGCAAAATCAAGACCAGTCAATTTGCGAATGGAGAGACCGCGACTGCGGACTGGGTCTATTATCACTCACCGTTCAACCCGCGAGGCGACGGGTATCAAGATGCCTCTTCCTCGTCCTCCGGACCTGGTGCAGGCGAAGGAGCCTATGCCTGGCTTGACGTCACACTCGGATCCGACACTGGCGGTAGCGTAAGAGGCCCTTCTTCGTCCCAAGGCCTGTACGGTAACCGTCCAACGTGGAATCTGGTTTCTCTGGAGGGGGCTATGCCACTGGCTCCCCAGCTCGACACCGCCGGCCTTCTCGCACGTGACCCTACCCTCTGGACAACGGCTGCGCAAGCCTTGTATGGACCGAACCTCACACTCAGTTCGTCGTACCCTTCGAGCATACTGACAATCGGCTTTCCGACATTCATCAACTCTACAGCTGATGGACTTCTGTTAGACTTTCTCAGCACGGTATCTGACTTCATCTCGGCGAATGTTTCGGCATTCAATATCACGACTGCCTGGGCTGAAATTCTACCGGAAGCACCTCCGCTAAGACAGCTGCTAAATCTCAGTTACCCGATCCTCATTAGTAAAGAGCAAACAAGGCTGGTCCGTGACCCGTTCTATGCCGACTATGCTGCTGCACATGATGGCCGTCTACCTTTCGTCGATCCTCCGCCATTGACGCGATGGGCGTATGGCGACAACGCAACGGCGACCGTTGAGGAAGCTGTTGCGAATAAGACCGCCTTCATGGAATGGTTTACCAACGAGATTCTTATGCCTGACGCAAAGACTTGTTCGAGCAGCTTGATGATGTACGTTGGGTCAGACGGCGACAATACGGTGTACAGAAACACTTATTGGGATCCACCTCGAGTGCCCTTTGGCTTCTCAACAGGCAGAATCAGCGTCTTTGCTGAGGTGCCGGACATGGTTGTGCCGAGTAAGTCACTTCATTTCTGAACAACGGGTTGACGCTAACGGAGTGATGCTGTAGTTGGGCAAGCGGCATATGAATCTACTGTCACGAATCATACGGAGTATCTGCCTGTGACTGTCGACTTCATGGCGGCGAAAGGCTGTGACGGCATGCTCTTCTCGCTTGTTGGGGAGTTGTTCGCTGCGGGCATCGTCAATGTGAGTCAAGCTGGACAAAGCAGCGTTGTTGGTGGGGAGATTCTGTTCAAGCGCATGTGAGGTCTCGGGTAGGAGCAGTAAGAACAGCCTTGTGTGTTCACTTGTGAAACATCGGACCACTATATGCCTATATAGTCATAGTCTTACAATATCACCACCTCCGCGAGCGTAAGGACTGTGAAAGATTCAGCTGCGCTTTCTGATTGGGTGGCAGATCACTGCCGTTGCGGGAACAAATGACACTGTAAGCCGACCCCGTAAACGGTAATATATCGGCCAGACGCGATTGACGCGAAGTTAGCCCGTGAAGCATCAACCCGCATACCTTACCTGACTTACGCCCACCACATCCGCCTCCCTCCTCGTCAAATCTTCTTCTTCCCTTCTCTCTAGCAAGATGGCGCCCGCAGACGTTTCCATGGCCGACAGCGACATGAACGGACGCGACGCAGACGACGCCATGCAGGTATTCATTACCACGCCTAGCTTCAGAGCTCCCCAAATGTTTCGGATGGCTAATTGTGAGCTGACAGGGCTACCAAGATACCCCCGACTACACCGTACGCGTCGCGAAGTCCATACCGTATGCCTCAGCTCACGCTTTTCAACAGGATTCAGATACCAACCCGAACACGACCGCGAGTAGCGTCGCCGGAGATGCTGCCCCCATCGACGGACGCAAGCGGCGGGCGCAAGACCAACAGCTGCGAAAGAGCATGTTTGGCAGGAAACACGATCGCTTAGGCGAGTCGAAGGTAAGCAGTCCGTGTAGTCTATCGCAACGCCTCTTGGACGGTCAGGCGGCGGTTCTTAATGCGCCTCACTGCCCGTTCTCTCTCACCCGCCCAAAAAGTACCAGGCCGTACATGGTTAACACTGTGACCTAACAGGAAGATGACTCCATCCGACGCTTCCGTTACCTCCTCGGCCTCACCGACCTCTTCCGCCACTTTATCGAGACAAATCCCAACCCCCGCATCAAGGAGATTATGGCAGAGATAGACCGCCAGAACCAGGAAGAAGAAGAGAAGGCCAAGAAAGGTCATACGAGAAAAGGTGGCGCAGCAGGAGAGCGGCGCCGAAAAACTGAGCAAGAAGAAGACAAGGAGCTGGTCCGGGACGAGAAGCGTGGAGGCGAGAGCGCGACTGTCTTCCGGGACTCGCCCGCCTTCATAAAGGGCGGGCAGATGCGAGATTACCAGGTGGCTGGCCTGAACTGGCTCATCTCGCTCCACGAGAACGGTATTTCAGGCATCCTGGCGGACGAGATGGGATTGGGCAAGACGCTACAGACCATATCCTTCCTTGGATATTTGCGCTTCGTCTGTGGCATCACCGGACCGCATCTCGTGGTTGTGCCAAAGTCGACGCTGGACAACTGGAAGCGAGAGTTCGGGAGGTGGATACCAGAGATCAATGTTTTGGTGTTGCAGGGTGCAAAGGAGGAGCGGAACAACCTCATCAACGAACGGCTGGTGGATGAGAAGTTCGACGTGTGTATCACGAGTTACGAGATGATCCTGCGAGAGAAGACGCACCTGAAGAAGTTTGCTTGGGAGTACATCATCATCGACGAGGCGCATCGTATTAAGAATGAGGAGTCTTCACTCGCTCAAATCATCCGATTATTCAATTCCCGTAATCGCCTCCTCATCACTGGAACGCCGCTACAAAACAACTTGCACGAACTCTGGGCGCTTCTCAACTTCCTACTACCGGACGTGTTCGGAGACTCCGAGGCCTTTGACCAGTGGTTCTCAAGTCAAGAGGAGGATCAGGACACTGTTGTTCAACAACTGCACAAGGTCCTGAGGCCGTTTCTGTTGCGGCGCGTCAAGAGCGACGTCGAGAAGAGCCTCCTGCCGAAGAAAGAGATCAACCTGTACGTTGGCATGTCAGAGATGCAAGTAAGGTGGTACCAGAAGATTCTAGAGAAGGACATTGACGCAGTCAATGGAGCTGCTGGCAAGAAAGAGTCTAAGACGCGTCTCCTCAATATTGTGATGCAACTGCGAAAGTGCTGCAATCACCCGTACCTGTTCGAGGGCGCAGAGCCTGGTCCGCCTTACACAACGGATGAGCACCTGGTCAACAACGCTGCAAAGATGGTTATGCTGGACAGGCTACTAAAGCGTATGAAGGCGCAAGGCAGCCGAGTGCTGATCTTCTCTCAGATGAGCAGAGTGTTGGACATTCTTGAGGACTACTCGGTCATGCGCGGATATCAGTACTGTCGCATTGACGGCTCTACAGCGCACGAGGACCGTATCGCGGCCATTGACGATTACAACAAGCCGGGATCGGAGAAGTTCCTCTTCCTTCTGACAACTCGCGCTGGCGGTCTCGGGATCAACCTGACAAGCGCTGATATCGTTGTCCTCTTCGATAGTGACTGGAACCCACAAGCAGATTTGCAAGCCATGGATCGTGCACATCGTATCGGTCAGACGAAACAAGTCATGGTGTTCAGATTTGTCACCGAGAACGCTATCGAGGAGAAGGTGCTCGAACGTGCGGCTCAGAAATTGCGACTAGATCAGCTAGTTATTCAGCAAGGTCGCGCACAACAGCCGGCTAAGAACGCAGCATCCAAGGACGAGCTACTGAACATGATACAGCACGGCGCAGAGAAGGTGTTCCAGAGCCAAGGCGGCATTGGAGTAGTTGGCGGCAAGGCCGATCTTACGGATGATGACTTCGAAGCAATTCTGAGTCGGGGCGAAGAACGCACCGCCGAGCTCAACGCGAAGTACGAGAAGCTCGGTATCGATGACTTACAGAAGTTCACTTCTGACTCAGCGTATGAGTGGAACGGCCAGAGCTTCGTTCCGAGTAAGAAGGAGATCGGCATCAACTGGATCAACCCCGCAAAGCGCGAGCGTAAAGAACAGTCATACTCTATGGACAAGTATTACCGTGCGGCTCTGCAAACCGGCGGTCGTACTGCGGACACTAAGCCCAGGGTGCCTCGCGCTCCCAAGCACGTGTCAATACATGACTATCAATTCTACCCGGAGAAGCTCAAAGTTCTTCAAGACAAAGAACTCGCTTGGTATCGCAAGGAGAACGGCATCAAGGCTCCACTTCTAGAAGGCACAGAAGAGGACCTTGTAGAGCGTGAGGCGGACCGAGACCTAGTACAACTGGACATCGATAACGCAGAGCCTTTGACCGAAGCGGAGAAGGAGGAGAAGGAGCGACTGACAGAGCAAGGCTTCGATTGGAATCGTCGCGATTTCCAGCAATTCATCAACGGATCTGCCAAGTATGGGCGTAACAACTACCATCTCATTGAAGATGAGGTCGACGGCAAGAATGCTGAGGAGATCAAAGCGTACGCTAAAGTCTTCTGGCAGCGGTACACGGATATCCCTGGCTGGGAAAAGTTTGTCAAAGCGGTTGAGGAGGGTGAAAACGCCATCCGCACCCGTGAACGCCACCAGAAGCTGCTCAGGAAGAAGATCAGTATGTATCGTGTCCCGCTTCAGCAGATGAAGATCAACTACACGGTCTCGACGACGAACAAGAAGGTGTACACCGAGGAGGAGGACCGTTTCATACTGGTCTGCTTGGACAAGTTCGGCATCGACAGCGAGGGTCTGTATGAGCGGATCAGGGACGAAATCCGCGAGTCGCCACTGTTCCGCTTTGACTGGTTCTTTCTCAGTCGGACACCCGTTGAGATCTCGAGACGGTGCACCACGCTTGTTACAACCGTCGTCCGCGAGTTCGAGGACCGCAATGGCAGCATCCCAAACGGCACGTCGAAGTCCAAGCGCACGCTTGACGAGGAAGAAGAGGAAGAGGAAGAGGAGACCGCCCCGGTCAAGAAGCGCGCGAAGAACGGTGTCAAGGTGTGCAAGGCCCTAACCCCCATTTGTCGACTCTCTATCTAACCATGGCGTAGAACAAGCAGCTTGACAACGTCAAGGGTACCGCTAGCAAGGCGACTTCCGCGAGCACATCTCGAGCTGGCAGTGTCGTCTCCAACGGCTCTGCCGTACCCCAAAAGTCGAAGGCGAAGTCTAAGAAGAAGTAGTGGATGGTTCCCGGACTGGTGTTTCTGATAATCATGATTGAAGGACCGAACGTGGCGCACGCGGGCTTGTCCTTCCGGAGTACAAGGCTGGACGGGACAGGTGGATTGTAAGCCCCGATGGCGTTCATAGGGAGACGGTCTTCAGTAGAGGCGTGTTTCGGAAACGTGCGTTGGCTTTACTTCCAACAGCGGTGTGGGGAGTGCAGGATGCATGCAGGGCTGTACGTTACTACGGCATGGGATGCTTTGGCTGGCTAGGTGTTCAATAGAATGGCGATTGCGATACCAGAGTTGAAATCGAGTAAAAGATTCTTGAGAGTGACACCGGAGCAGCTTCACAGGACAGTACCTTAGCAACATGAACGTGTCCTATCCAAACGTCACGTGGACATGTCTGAATGCTCAGAATGTGGCTCGTGAGGCCAGCTCATCCACTGCCAAGCTCCGAATGACGTGTATCAGGACCCCTCGACGCCCATCCCACATTCACGCTTCATGACTGCTAAGAGAGGACACGCTTCACGGTTACCCACCCTAAATCCCACTGACTCAAAGCAACCTCGACACATCTCAGCTGGACGCATCCCGGACTCCACAGACTTAGGTATTAGGGCTCTACTGACCCTGCATCGAGCATATACTTGACTTCGCCGTCCCACCCACCACTACTACGAGCAACTGCAGCAATGGCAGACGAAGACGGCGCTATGGAGCCCACTCTCCAGCCCCTCATCGACCAGAAGACGCTGCGCTGGATCTTCGTCGGCGGCAAAGGCGGCGTAGGCAAAACGACGACATCCTGTGCGCTCGCAATACAAATGGCCAAGAACCGCAGATCCGTGCTGCTCATCTCGACTGACCCGGCGCATAACCTGAGCGACGCGTTCAACCAGAAGTTCGGCAAGGATGCACGGCTGATCAATGGGTTCGACAATCTGAGCGCAATGGAGATCGATCCAAATGGGAGTATACAAGATCTGCTGGTGGCGGGGGGAGAGGGCGTGAACGAGGCTATGGAGATGGGAGGCATGGGGAACATGATGCAGGATCTAGCATTCAGCGTATGCAGCACTACACTGCACCGACCGCGATCGCCGGCCTCTGTGCACAGCTAACGGTTCTCACAGATACCAGGTGTAGACGAAGCCATGTCCTTCGCTGAAGTCCTCAAGCAAGTTAAGTCGCTGTCTTACGAGGTCATCATCTTCGACACGGCGCCCACAGGCCACACGCTGCGCTTTCTGCAATTTCCGACCGTCATGGAGAAAGCGCTGGCGAAGCTCTCCCAGCTCTCCACGCAGTTCGGCCCGATGCTGAACTCGGTCATAGGCGCGCGCGGCGGCCTGCCTGGTGGCGCCAACCTTGATGAAATGCTCCAGAAGATGGAATCGCTACGAGAGACCATCAGCGAAGTCAACACACAGTTCAAGGACGCGGACATGACGACGTTTGTGTGCGTGTGCATTCCAGAGTTCCTGAGTCTGTACGAGACGGAAAGGTTGATTCAGGAGCTGTCGGGCTACGAGATCGATACACATGCGATTGTGGTTAACCAGCTGCTGTTTCCGAAGAAGGACAGTCCGTGCGACCAGTGCAACGCAAGGAGGAGGATGCAGAAGAAGTACTTGGAGCAGATTGATGAGCTGTATGATGAATTTAATGTCGTGAAGATGCCATTGTTGGTTGAGGAGGTCCGGGGGAAGGAGAAACTGGAGAAGTAAGTCCGATTGTGTATCCAAGCGGAGTCCTCTTATCCAGCACTTTGCTGACATTCATTCTACGCAGGTTTTCAGAGATGCTGGTCAAACCCTATCAGCCTCCCGAGTAGGAGGACCAACCACATTGCTCCCAACACGCATTAGAAACCATCACGCGGCGCATATGAATCTGCACATAGAGCATATCTTTAGATCGCTTTAGAGATACAAGATACCACGCTCGATTTTCAGTACTTTCCACAAACCAAGTCTTTGCTTTTCTGCACGTCGAATACACGTCAAACACTTGAGAGCAAAGAAGACCGCGTGAAAACGTATCATTGCCGAGAGTGGGCGAAGGAAATACAAGAAGCAGCAGCAGGTACTCGCTACTCATAGCTTAATCGTTTTTCATGGCCCATGGCTGTGTGTGGAGACCAGGGCCCGATATTAGAATACATTGCGGTCGAGTATGAAGGCAGAGGAGCCCTGCGCGCCTTCCACGGTTCCCATCGCTTCTGCCTGCAAGCCTCATGCAGGTCCCGCGAGCTGCCATCATGGGTCTAGCTAACCGGATTACGCTGATATCGAACAATTCCATGATCAATGCCCGTGCGAGACAGACAAGGCTTTAGGTTGAATCACACGACGAGGCCGAGTTTATCAGCGTTTGTTAGCGCACGTTGCGGAACCTCAGTCAGCCGTTCGACATTTCAATGTTACAACAAGCCATGCGCAAGACCCAATCTGCTTCTTCCGGTTGATCCAAGGGGTGATAATGCAAGAGCGGCGGTAGCACGCCAGCCGTGCAGTAGGTATGCTTGTCACTGCAGCCACGAAACCGACCTCTCAGCCACGTGGACTTCAGCAGACGCAGGAGTGTCTGTAAGTGAGGTCTAGCAGGATATTACCAGACATGACCCGCGGACAACCTCGCGTACACAGTTTTAACAAGCGACAGTCCTTTGAGGACATTCAAGCTTCCTCATCGAAAGTTAGATCTACGCATTAATCTAAGCATCAATATCGAAGACTAGACTTGCCACGCGCAGAACCCCGCAGAGTTCACAGTCGCCCCACCTTGGCTCTCGCGTTTTCCCCCGCAGATTTGCTATTCCCCGTTGCTCTAGGAGCAATCCGCCGCTTTGAGGTTGCGCTCCGAGGTCTTTGATCTCTCGACCGTCTCTTGGGGACACTGGGGGACGTTCATGACCTTCCAGAAGCGTGGGATGACAGCCAGGATGACCCTTGACAGACAGCTGCCACTTAATCTACAGCCCCGCCAATGGGTGTGGCTGCCCTTGCATGCCACTGGGCACGCAATACCGGGAACCCCCGCGAGCAGCACTGCATCCAAGCAAAAGTCCAAGTTCAAAGGGGCAGCACGGGATCGAAGCGCCTAAATTTGGTTTTTTTGGTCTTCTCGGCCGTGGCGCTGAGGAACCGCGCCACAAACTTTTGGCTGTCGCCGCCAATCACGGCCCGTCGAGGCTTCACGCGCCAATCAACTCCGCTCCACGCTCAATTCCAACGTCGTCCTCGAGGGACGGATCGCTCGCAGGGAAATGGCGATCACGGCCGAAGAGGGTCATTCGTCCGGTCATTTGCCAGCGGCCACCTCTCGGCAACAGCATCCGTCCGGCTGTAAGTCCCTTCTTCGCCGGTATTGAGCAGTCGACATCGAGGCTCTGGCCGCCTTGGGCGTGGGCATGAAGTCTGGGGAGTGAGCCGCTAAGGCGGGCGCCAGGAGAGATCAATGCCATAAAGACTCCACATCTCCCAAGGTGGGTGAGACGAAACAAGGAGCTCTTCAACTTTCCTCCCCAGTCTTCGCAGGCCATTAGTCCGCTGTCACTGTGTTTCGGTTCCGTCTCCACATCTTCAAGATGCAGTCCTTCGTTTCTTCTCTTCTCCTTCCTTTTCTTTGCATCACTGGCGCGCTTGCTGCCCCCGCCGCCGCGCCGGTCGAGATCGAGCGGAGAGCTATCAGCGGCGATGTCCTGGCCAAGTTGAGCATGTTTGAGCAGTGGGCCGCTGCGTCGTATTGCCCAAACAACAACAACAGCCCGAACTCCAAAGTCATCTGCGAGGCTGGGAACTGCCCGACCGTGCAGGCAGCAGACACGAAGACCGTCATCGAGTTTCAAAAGTGAGTGGTCGTCTACTTGTGCTGCACTCCACAGAGCCCATAGTCCTTGCCATCTCGAGCGATGCCTATAGCTCCGCCAAGCTCGGTCGTCATGAGTGCAATCCTTGCACAATGTCTCCCAAGGTGAAGCTTTCTGCTGACACACCAAATCACAGCTCCTTCGCAACCGACGTAACCGGCTTCGTCGCCGTCGACAAGACCAACAAGCTCGTTGTAGTGAGCTTTCGGGGCAGCCAGTCTCTCAAGAACTGGCTCGCCAACCTCAACTTCCCGGCCACGCTCACCGACATCTGCCCCGGCTGCACCGCGCACACCGGTTTCTGGAGCTCCTGGTTCGAGTCCCGCAAGCGCGTCCTCGCCGCCGTCGAGAGCGCAGCGGACGCGAACCCCGGCTTCCAGCTCGTCGTCACGGGACACAGTCTCGGCGGCGCGATCGCAAACTTCGCGGCGGCGCAGCTGAGGAACGACGGGTACAAGTGTGACCTGGTAAGGAACTCTCGGTCTGGATTCAAGCCGGCACGTTTCGTTGACACCAAGAACAGTACACCTACGGCGCCCCCCGCATCGGCAACGCAGCCATCAGCGACTACATTTCCAACCAACCCGGCGGCACCTACCGCGTCACTCACACCAACGACCCGGTGCCGCACCTGGCGCCTATCGCCTTCGGCTTTGTGCATATCAGCCCGGAGTACTACATCTCGAGCGGGAACAACGTACCCGTGACCGCGAACGATGTGGCGGTGTATGAGGGGAACATCAATTTTAGGGGTAACACCGGGAAGCTGTTCTTGGACACGGATGCTCATGGATGGTATTTCAACAAGGTTGGAGATTGTGGCCCGGATTTTGAGATCTCGAAGCGGGAGTTGGAACTGGCGTATGTTTGAGCGAGTGGGTCATGGCATAGTGAAGGAGTTCCTGGGGTTAACACTTAAGATACCTATGATGAAATTCGAAGATCGCGTTGAACAATGGATGTCTGTTGGCTTGTGGGTCAGCCTAGGACTGGCCAGTTTAATTCATAGGATGTCGATGCGTCGACCAATCAACGGCTGCGCATCTCGCGGCCTCCAACCTCACCTCGTTGACCCATCACGGTGCAATTGACCACAGTATGCTTCGCTTTAGGTGAAAATTTAGCGCTAATGTCAATGCAGACGCGTCTTAAGACCTGTGGCTCTCAATTTTAAACCAGTCAAGAGGTCTAAATAGTAGAGAAGGCACCCCCAAAAGTTGCTCCTCCCCAGGTTCCTTTTAGACACCCGATCCGGGGCGAAGACACCTGCAGCATCTTCTGAACACATGACACGCGCAGCGATATAAGTGTCTCCCTGAAGCAGACGTGTGCCTCCGACAACGACCGGCAAAGTAGCATCGAAAGCTCTCCGCGAGAGGCCGATACTCCGCCGGTTGAAGCAACGCTGTGAAATCCTCGAAACGGCGGTCAATGATCCGGTGAAGGACATTGACACAACTACGGAGTACAGTGAGCCGGATGGTCTACCGCGAAATAAGAAATAGGGAATGATATGGAAGCATGTAATTGGCTTGTGATGTGTATAAAGTCTTTTCAGAATGATTTATAAGCTTGGAATCGAACTGTCCGGAGCCCAAATTTAGTTTTTTGTAGTGGTGCATCCCTTTTCTTTGCATAGTCTGTTCACTCCTAAAATTCATAGATCTCTGACAAATTTGAATACCATGTCCTACGTATTTTGAAGGCGAAGGGATTGTAACCGTATAAATCTGCCCGGTACGCATCGCCGGACAAGACGAGCCTACATTCATAGCGATATATCATTGGGACCGTAAAGTGAAGTGACAACAGGTGTGGTTGCTGCAGGATCAAGGCTCACGAGGCGAAAACCCCAACACCGGAGTCCTCAACCTTGTTGCTTCGAAGGGCACAAGACCTCCCTATATTTATGCAGGATTTGCAGCAAGCACACTTGCCCTCTCCGTAGCCCGGCCGGCGACGCCGGTGACGGTTCACACAGCCCAGCAGATGTAAACCAACCCCTTTTAGCCAGTAAGCACCAACACCTAAACAGCCAGCTCGGATCCTGCCCTTCGATGAATCATGCAAAAGCCCAGCCAGCTGGACATACCACATCCAAACTTTACTCCAGATAGTCCCCATTCGTCTCCTTGTGTATGACGTCAAAAAGCGGCTTGGCCGAGAACCATCCAGCCATCGGAGATCCGACCGTCTTCTTCGTGTATTCTGCTTCCTCTTCTCCGATCTTGACCGTCTCCCCTCCACGTCCGGCAGCTGCAGCATCAGCCATCAACTGCGCATGGCAGCATTTCTCCAAGCTCATGAACCAGAAGACCGCTTCCTCAACAGTCTTGCCGACGGTAAGGAGGCCATGGTTCTGCAGAAGAGCGGCCTTCTTGTTGCCGAGGCAGGCTGCAATGTCCTTTCCCTCCTTCTCGACAAGGACGACGCCGTTGAAGGATTCGTACAGGACGTGGTCCTAGCAGGGACGGTCAGCTTGTCCCGTCCAATACAAAGCTGGGAGTCTGATGCCATACATTGTGGAAGGCACACGAGTCCTGCGTGATGGTATCTAGCTTCGTGCCAAGGGTACAGAAAGCCCGTCCATAGATGCTGTGACTGTGTGCGGCACAGATGACATCCGGACGAGCTTGGTGGATTGCAGAGTGGATCATGAATGCGGCAGCATTGAGAAGCCTGGTTGGTCCCCCGTCGATTACGTGGCCCTCTTCGTTGACAAGGATAAGATCTGAGGCCTTTATCATGGAAAAGGCTACGCCGAAGGGGTTCACCCAGAATGTCTCCGGATCAACGGGGTCCTGCAGTTGTCAGCCGGCTTGTCTGAGATAGCCAACGGATTGGAGCGTTGATTCTTGTCTGCTGGCTTACCCTGAGAGTGATGTGGCCCGCCACACCTTCGTCGAATCCAAACTTGCCGAACAGTCTAAAAGCCGCCGCTAATCTGCCCTTGAGATACTCTCGCTCTTTGTAGGGGTCGTCAAACTTCGGAGGACCTGGGAACTTTGGCATTTGCACTTTGGCCTTCTCCTCGCTCAATCCAGGCTCGTGGGTGGCTGTCGCCGGCTTAGAAGCCGACCCATTGGTATCATCGTGGGTTGCTGAAGGCGGAGACATGGCGTAGGAGGAAGTAGATTAAATACTGTATGGGTTGTTAACCAGCGGTTTCGTGAAGACAATTAGAAGAAAACAAACGAAGGAGAGGAGTTGTGTCGGTTGCCTTTTCCATTGATGGATACCGAGGCATCCGGACCGCCACCCTGCAGGTGAATAACCCGCTTCAAGTATTCGAGTATCTTTTGCGGGGTGATCCGGGGATCAGTGAAAGGCACGTGACCTGCTTCGAATTACTTTGGCCAGACACGCGAGTGACAAAATCGCCGGACTTGTAAACTACCGGACCACGTCAGGCGGGGAAAATGCCCGTCGCGACAGCGGCCTAGCTCTCATTCGCCGTCAACTCTATAAAGAATAGGACGTCAAGCTTTGAGTCAGCTATCCAGACTATGTTGTAGAGCATTATAATAATCGTAAAGGATGCTTTATTGTTGATGCAGCTCTGGGTTTCTAGTTTTGCGGCGAGGCTTTTTTCCTGCTTACTCCTAAATCACTAAAATCTATTATATTTACCACGTCTCTAAAGGTCTAAGGGTGACCCGAAAAAATGACGGCCACGCAAAATCACTGAAGACACCCTACTTTATAGTAATCTACTTTTGCTTACAGTAGTATTTCTGTATCTAAATTTACATAAAATAGCTTATGCATTTAACTATACTTAGCAAGTATATAGTAGCGCTAACTTTAATATAGATAAGTTTATATAATATTGGTCTTGAGTGTTAGTAAATTCAATATAGATTTTGTATAGCCGCAAATATTTCGAGTAGCTCTTAGTCTTTACTTATTAGTAGCCTGAATTCCCTTAGCGAGATCTATAGGCTAGTAGATTAATATATTTATATAAGTAGCTAGTAGCTTAATAGTATTAAGCTAGGTAATTACTAATAGTAAAATATATTTTATAGTAGTTAAGAAATAGTATCTAGTAGTATATATAAAGACTAAAGCCTACTATTTATTAGATAGTAGGTATCTATAAATATATAAAAAGTATTAAAAAGGTGGGGTTATAATATCTAGCTTAGTAACAAGCTAGGCACGATATAGCTTAATACTATACTAAGGCTCTCTCCTAGTCGGGTCATGATATTACTCTAGCTATTCTACCTCTAGGTATAGCTTGCATATGCTTATATAGCAGCATACTATAAAGGATTGCGCCTATTTATAACCTTCCTACTAAGCTGACTGAAGGCCTATCTGTTTTTCGGAGTCCGGCAATTTCTGTCACGCAGATGCCAGAGTAACAAGGAGGCGCGGAACCTTGACAGCGTGGACTCACAGTGATCTTGCCATTGGCTGTATGCAACCGGGAGGGCATCCGGCCCTCTCCGGGGACCCCCTTGTAAATCCAACTTCGGGGCGCACCGAAGACACCTTCTTCAGCCCTGGAAAGCTCTCCGACTCTCCGATAACGGCATCTTGTACTGGGAATTTGTAGGGCGACAGGGTTGGCACTGGGCAGATGTGACAACCCCCCGCCGTCGTCCAAGGCGCACTGCACAGGACGGGCAGACACGAGCTTTTGACATGCGCGCCCTTCGTGTCCCAATCCGGTTGGCACCTCACGTGCTGGACCTGGCATTGGCTGAGGTGTGACTCTTCAGCTCGTGAACACGGTGCGGTCTTTGATATCTCACATTTACTCTACCTTCCTGATATTGTCTTCCATCCCACATTCTGTCCGCCCTTCTGCTGTTTGTCATTGCTTCCTTGCTAAGGGCGTGCTCTCGGAACGGAAGTGCAAGGCTTTCCCCTTGGCCCCAACGTTCAGCATTGTCATTGTCTGATTTACGCCCTTCGACATGGAGACCAACAACATCGACATGGCGGCGTTCTTCGATTTCAGCGATGCATCACTGCCTGATCTGTCCGAGCCTATACCAGACTTTGTCGTCCCAGAGTCATTGATCCCTCCCGCCAGTGGCACTTGCCCTTCGCATCCGGGCATCCATGAGTCAGTCAATCCTTCTTTCGTGCATTGTCAGCTTTTACAAACGCCCGTCCATTGACCCTGTTACGAGCACACGCCATAATAATTTATACTGACAACAGCATCAGCTGCCTATGCCATGGCTTTATGATCAACCCACACATATCAGATCCCACGCTTGGCAACCACAAAGATGTAGAATTTAACAATGACTTCTCGAGCTGGATTCCTCGGTACTCAAAGCCGGAGCAGGCCTGCAATTATTGCCGGTCGAGACAACTGGAGTGCTTCAAGACTTTCGAAGGCCAGAAGTCATGCTCACCTTGCAACGCACTCTTCCGCTCATGCAGCTTTGACGAGGTGCAACAGCCAGAGAAGCGGCAGAGGGGTCTTCTGGACACGCTAGACAACGTGCCTGAGAACGAATGCAGAGAGCTTGGCGGACTGACGGGCATCAAGTCGCTAAGATCACTTGGTCACACTTTGGGCAATGTCGATGGTGACTGGGCATCCAGGAAGAGTGGAGTCCGCTTCACCCTTCCCCAGCTTAAAGCTCTTAAGAACTGGATGGACGAGCACCGAGACAACCCGTATCCAACCGAGGAAGAGAAGGAGGAACTCAGGAACAGGACTGGTCTAAAGGCAGTGCAAATCTCCAACTGGCTCGCAAACGCACGACGCAGGAACAAGTCGAAACGAAATAGCAGATGCGCATCGCCATCTCTTGGCCCTTCAACTCCGACATTCAATGCAACCAGCACCGCCATTGACGTACCCAGAGACCTCCGCGTTGGCCCTTCTGGCAAGTGCTGGGAAGTCATGAATCCGCTCGAACGTTGGCAACATTCTCCGCCAGAAAACGAACCGGCACCTTTAACTGCCATCGTGAGCGCCGTTCATCAGTACAGCCCCCCGGAAAGCACGCAAAATCGGCATAATCACGACTCCGAGAGTTCTGGGTGTTTCTCCAATGCCGCTTCCCTATTCATGGCGCCCTCTACAACCAGCTTAGAGGAGAGGCAGTCCAGTCACTCGACCGGTTCGTTTGGCTCCTTCGGCTCCGCATGGTCGCATGGATCTCGGGGCTCATTCAATTCATTCGGCTCGTTTGGTAGCAGCCAGAGGGAACGACGAAGGCGCCGCCGGAGGCCCGCCGCCCGACCGGTGCAGAAAACTCCACAGGATGCATCACGCATATTCCAATGTACTTTTTGCACAGACACTTTCAAGAGCAAGTACGACTGGTCCCGCCACGAGAAGTCCTTACATCTCAGCCTGGAGAAGTGGATATGTGCGCCTCTCGGGGATGTCATTACGTGTGTTGAGACTGGCCGCAAGAAGTGTGTCTTCTGCAATGCGCTCGACCCCAGCCCAGAACATCTGCAAAACCACAACCATGATGCATGCGAAGAGAAAGGGCTGGATGCTCGAACGTTTTACCGCAAGGACCACCTTCGACAGCACCTTCGACTCATGCACGGGTGCAAGATGACTGACTCCATGGATTCCTGGAAGGCGGAAGTGACGACCGTCGACAGTCGTTGTGGCTTCTGCGGACAAAGGTTCACCAAGTGGCAAGATCGTAACGACCACCTCGCAAAGGAATTCCGCAACGGGGCTAAGATGAAGGACTGGAAAGGGTGCCGTGGCCTTAGCGCGGAGGTGCATGCGCTTGTAACTTCTGCGATGCCGCCTTACTTAATCGGTGAAGAAAGTACTTCGGTCGATCCGTTCAGTGCTTCCAACCCTGCCTCAAATCCGGCGTCCATGGGCAACCAACACCAGCTGCTGGGTATGTCAGCCACGCATGAAGACTGTCCCGTGGACTCCGGCCAGGGATCCTCCATCACCTCGCCGACTAGTGCTGGACTGCAACCAGCTGACATTTTGGCCATGCCGAACCGGCCCAACCAGACAGTAGCTACGTGCTGGGAGATACTCACCATCCGGCTTGGCCGCTTCGCTCAAGAGCAGCTGATCAAAGGCGCCCCTGTTTCCGATGACATGCTACAGCGAGAAGCGCGCCTAATCCTCTACGACAACGATGACAGCTGGAATCAAACCGCGGCGGACAACCCTGAGTGGCTTACCCTGTTCAAGAAGGCACATGGCTTGGACAACTCGCAGAACGTTGACATGCGGGACGTGCTTGAAGATCTCGGCGTGCTGGGAGACTTCGATCTTGACGAGCTGTACGGCGCTGGCAAGAAATGGTCGGCCACCAAAGAGACAATACCGGAGCAGGCGTGCTTTGTGAACGGCGGGGAATGCCTACCGTTCCTGACCAACCAGGCTGGCGGTCTTGCAGCATGGGGTCCTGGCGCTGTTGAAAATGAGCCTGTGTCAGTTTCCATGATAGATACACCACTCATCACCTCGGGCGGAAGCAGCTCAGCGTTGCACACTGATTTGATGGATGTGGGCCACTTTGACGCGATGGATTGCATAACCGACACAGGGTTTCTTACTACGTATATGCATTTCTAGGCGTTATTGTTTGGAGCTTAGCAGACAGATAGAACGGATTGTATTGCCTTGCTTATACACACTCTATTGTGCAACCGCCTCCAGCGGCGTCCTCCTCAAGAAATCCTCAGAAGTCTCAGGCCTGATCTCTGGGTAGCGCGCATTGTCCAGGCTCGCAAACTCCCCTAGGTGACACTGGCCGTTGACGCAGTAATACTGATAGAACATTGCCATGTACTTTAGAGGGTCTTGAGGATACTTCTCCCGCAGCTCATGCATGAGCTTGTAGAGGTCATCCAGGGAGCCAAGACGTTCAAGCTGCGGCTGAAATCCGCACACGGTATTGACAGCATCGGCGATTTGGCGGATCGTCTTGCGATCGCCCAGAACTTTGCTCCAAGTCAGAACGGGATACATGAACACAGCCGTTGAACTTACACTTCTTGACCCCCACCGCATCCGCATCTACCGCCGCCGCGGCCACAAATTCTGCAGCGGTCTTATAGGTTGTCGACTCCCACACCTCGTCCCCCTCGCCCCAGAATCTCAACTTCTTCTCCTTTCCATCCCAGGTCTGGAAATACGGGCTAAAGAATGTGTCCATGAAAACTCCAATAAGGACATGAACACCCTTGACACTCTTCTCATCAAGATAGGCCTTGACCTCAATCATCGGGTCTTTTGGAAACAACTGCCCCTTCTCCAACTTCGTAAAGTCGAGGGTGTAATCACTAGCGATATACCTAGGCACGCCCTCGGCTTCGCATGCATCGACCAGCACTTTTTGGCCCTCGGTCATTAATCTATCGTCGCCCAGGTAGCAACATATGACGACGTCACACCCCCATGCGAAGGTGCGGGCCGCGGAGACGTCGTAGGCGCCGCCTTGGGCGATGTGGATGCGCTCGTTCGCAGAGAGCGATGAGGGAAGTTTAGTTGGGTCGCGGACGTAGCCACGCAGGGTTACGTTGGGACGCTGGAGGAGGAAGGAGGCTACGAGACGGGCGAATTTGCCGGTGAGGCCTGCGATGCCGACTGTGAATGTTTCTTGAGGAGCTGTCATGGTGGGAGGCGATTTGGGGAGAGCTAGGAAGTTGGCGGCCAGGCGGAAAGAGAACATGTATAAACTTTCTTGATCTGTGTTGCCTGACTAGAGCACCTGCCATTTTATATTACAAGTTATAGAAGGAGCAGATGCGTAGTTGGGGTGGTAGCAATCTGATTTCGGGACGCGTAACTACGCGCGATTATTCAGACGGGTCGGCCTCGCGCTTTTAAGGACGCGAGCATTATTGCGTTTAGGACTAATAGCAGACCCTAGAACTTAAATTTTCGACCCTTCGACTATAAGGATTTGAGTACGGAGACAGCAATCTGCGATACTAGCAAATTATTCATCGCTCATGAAAATCGACTTGGCTCGGAGTATTTAGAGTAGCTAGCGAGTATCTCAAGTACTTTCCCAATTGTCTCAAGCGCTCTAAGTACAAGGATTAGCTTGTGCGGTCTGCTAACTCTCTTTACTTCCTATTAAAGTGTCACGCAAGTTGCACGAGATCTTAATTAAGTGCTAGAAAGTTATTATTCCTATCTTGCTTGGATCGAGCTCTAAATACTCGATCCGATTAGCACCTGCCAATCTGCAGGCGCGAGTCGATTAGATTATCTATTGCTACTAATCTAGTTCTATGTATTAGAAGTTAATCTCTAAAGTTCTTAGTCTATAGCCTACTAAAGCTATAAGGTTATAAGGCTATAAGGCTATAAAGCTATAAGACTATAAAGTATCTATCCTTAGTCTTAGGTACTAAGTAGTAAAACCGGTTAATTAATAATTAAGTTTACCACTAAAGATTCTACTGGATTCTAGAGGATTCTAGAAGGTTCTAGACGAATAGAATTTGTAATATAGATTACTAATTATAGAATAGAAGATTCTATAGATTAGTAAGATGGAATCTACTAGAAAGTAGTAAGATCTAGAGGATTTAGATATATATATATAGACGGTAGTTTTCTACCTTAGATAGTAATTAAGCTCTATAATTAATATATTCTAATACTATAATACTTTCTACTTTAAAGCAAATTACTTAGATACTATGTTAAGTTAAAGTAATTATACTTATAATAAAGTGTTATTATAGAATTATAAAAGTTACTATAAAGATTAGGATCCTAATCAAGAAGATAGAGGATAGTACTAAGATATAATAAGGTAGGAATTAATATTACCTACTAATAATTAGACAAGTTATATAAATATAAGATTCTTATTTTATTAGTAAATCTTTTACACGCTTAGGAAAACTAGATATACTTTAAGTACTTAGAGTATACTTAGAGCTCTTAGGATCCTTAGAGCTCTTAGAGTCCTTATATTAGGAAAAATTTAGATACTTATAAAATCAGCTTTAGAGTAGAATATATTAATATACTTAATAAAACTTGATTTTCCACTATGCGCTGCCTTAGCAAAAACCACGATTGTCTCTAAAATTTATATAGCAAAAACGCTTACAACACGATAATAAACACTGCAGGTCGAAATTGCAAAATCCGCTTCCTAACTTTCTAAACTAGTTCTTACGCTATTGATGCATCCACTTTATAGCGCTCTATAACCACTAGTGCAAAAGCCTTAGGGATTTAAAATTTTGGCTGAAGCTTAATTGCAACTACAGAGCTAGTGGTTGCGGCTAGTGTGCTACAGCCGTGGCTAGTACTACAGCTTAGCTGCAAAAATGCTAACTGCCGACCGCGCCGACCACGCCGACTACATGTATACCTTAGGCTACTAGTTTAACCCCTAGCGGGATTATACTTTTTCTTTTTAGCTATAATATAGATATAGACTCTTAAGGGTATCTTATAGCCTATAAAGGCTTACTAAGGTATAAAAAGGCCTAATAAGATATAGAAAGGCTTAATAAGATATAAAAAAACTAAATAAAATATAAAAAGACTTAATAAGATAAAGAAAGAGCTAAATAAGATAAAAAAATACTTAATATAGTTGAAAAAGACTTATTAGAGCTAAAAAAGTCTAATATAAATAAAAAAAAGCTTAATACTATAGAGAAGAATTAAATAGATAAAAGAATATCTATATAGCTAGATAAATATCTAAAAAGACTTAAAGTTGTAGTAAAAAATCTAGAGCTTCTATAGATTTACTAATTAATTAATTTTAAGATTATCCACTATCTATTAAGGTAATAAGAGATTAAGTAATAAAAAAGATCTATTTAAAGAAGAAGCTAAAGTAAAGTATATACTATTAATTAAGCTTAAACTAAGTAAGAAACAAAGTTAAATACTAGACTAGAAACTAAACTAAAAACTAAGCTCTAAGTAAAACTAGAAACTAAACTAAAATTAAACTCTAAGTTAAATAACAAACTAAAATAGAATCTAGACTAGAATCTAAGCTAAAAACTAAACTAGAAATTAAGATAAAAAGTGAAAAAATATATAGAGTATACTAGAAGCTAAAACAGAATATATATTACAAACTAAAGTAGAATATTGATTAGAAACTAATCTATAAACTAAACTAGACTAGAAGCTATAATATAATCTGAGTAGTAAACTCAGTAGTAAACTAAGTAGTAAACTAAGTAGTAAGCTAAGTAGTAAGCTAAGTAGTAAGCTAAGTAGTAAGCTAAGTAGCAAGCTAAGTAGTAAGCTAAGTATTAAACTAGGAAATATACTAAGAAATAGACTAAGAAATAGACTAAGAACTAACCTAGAAATATACTATAAAGACTTAAAAGAAAACTAAAATTAAATAAAAAAATAATCCTAACTACTATATATATTATAAGAAGAACTAGGGGGGGTTTAAGGGGGGAAACACCCCTTATATCTAAAAAAAAATAAAAAAAATAGAAAGATATAAAAAAGGATTTACTCTTAAAAATCTAAACTTACTCTTAAAAATCTGAATACACGAAATACTCTTTCCTAATACTCTAAACCGTTTTATTATAAAACGAGCACACCTAGTAGAATATATAGAATATATAGAATAACAAAAATAGTTAGTACTACTACTTAGCAAATAGACTTTTTTTATTGGAATTTAATTTCTAAAGTCCTTAGCTTAGTATTATCTTAGTATTTCCTTAGCATTTCCTTAGTAAGAATTTCACTACTAGTTGAATATAAAGTTTTATGTTTTTTATTTTCAATAGAGCTTCTATTTCTAAGTAGAGCTTCCGTCTTAAACCGAAGCTTCTATTTTAAAATAGAACTATAGATTCTATTTCCGTCTCTAAATAAAGCTTCTACTTTAAAATAGAGCTCTAAGTCCTATCTGTTTGTAATAGAGCTTTTAGCTCTTACTATTTTTAATAGAATCTCTATCTACGTCTATCTAAATGGAGCTATAAGTGAAATTTAATAAGTTTCACTTTAGAAGCAAATAAAAAGAGTATATAGACGGGAGGTCTCTTCTACTAGACAAAATATTAAGCTCTCTACTAGTTTAGTTCCTATTATCTAAGGGCCTAAAATTCTAATATTTTTTAGAGAATCTACTCTTACATAACATTCACCTA